TATTTCAAGAAATAATTGTTCTTTTTAATAAGATTTTACCAGAAAAGTATGTGAAATTTCATTACTAATGCGAAAATTTCCATTTTCGACACGTTAATTTACATAGTTCTAAAACGAGCCTATTTCTCATACTTACTTGAAAGTTGGCTGCCAATTATATCTTTCAACATCAGGCATTTCAAGAAAATTGACCACCGGTAAATTTGTATATAACACTTTTGATTCAAAAAAAGATAAACATAGCTTCACTTTTCCTTTAATTTGTGCGTCTTCATGACCAAAAGTCCACGGGTGTTGATATTTGGCAAGACGGTTGTAAATGTGAATGGATTTAAATTTTGTAAACGTTGATCACCGTAACCTTCGTTCATGGTCACTGAAAAACCCCAAATGTGCTGAAATAAAAATGTTGTATGGGGAGCAGACTAGGATACCTTTCTTTGCTTTATTTGGCTAGAGTTAACGATATAAAATAATGTTATATTCCTCCATATTTTGTTTAATGAATGGGCAATAGGCAAAATAAAATAATACCTAGCGCCGTAAGCCTGACCTCATACCCCGCTCCTATATATACCAGAACTGTAACTGCCAAAACATACTTCCATACCAAATCTGGTTAGCCCAGATAAACCAGTTTTGCTGAAGTCGTCCTAGTAGTTAAGGAAGAGTTGTCCAGACAAAGATTTTTAACAAAGGACCATAACTCCTTAAAAGGGGTCGAAATGAAAAAAACACTATCCTGATGCACGATATCAGGGGGTAATTACCATATCTGTACACATTCATTGACATCGGACCAGAAGTTAATGAGGCAGACAAAGTTTTTTTTTCTACAAAAGGCCATAACTCCTTTTTAAATGTTCGGAATGAGAACATACTATTTGGATGCACAATGTCAGGGGACAGTTACCATATCTGTAAACCTTCGCTGCAATTCGCTCCATAGTTTTGGAGTAGTTGTCAGGAAAAGTATTTTTAAACAAAGGGCCATTTCTTCGTAAAAAAGGGTCAGATTGAAAAAAATAATGCCTATATGCACACCATCAGGTGGAAGTTATCATATCTGAAAAGTTTCGTTGAAATTGACCCCTTAGCTATGGAGGACAGGTCCGGACAAGAATTTTTCAACAACGGGCCATAACTTTGAAGTAAAAGGTTCAGAATGAAAATATAATACCTGGGTGCGTAACTTGAGGTGGTTGTCACTTTCGCTGAAATTTGTCCCTTACATTAGAAGGAGTTGTCCAAACAATCGTTTTTTCCACGGACAGACAGACGGAGAGACAAGCTGATTCCAGTATACCCCCTAACTTTGTTGCATGGGGTATAATAAAGTGTATAATAGTTGTACTATTAAGATTATTTTATTGTTTTTATATAATTGCATATCTTTGTCTATAACACAATCTCAACCTTAAGTAGTTCTCCAGAGGAAAGATTACTTTGGCAGAATACATATTCATGAGTTATAACTGCTGCACATAACTTTAAAACATGCGTAATATAATAAAGTGTTTTGGTATGATACAAAAAAAGAAAATGTTTAGGTATTTACCATAATAAACATTGATAGTCAAATCTTCAAGATTATGTGGAATTGGGCATTGATCCAGTTTGGCTTAATTGATAGTTATAAAAGGAATTTGTTTTGCAAATTTTAGATGAAGAGCCAGCTTCAAAAAGAATAAGAGGGACGGAGCCCAATAAAGGAAGTCAATTGGTTATTTATGTTAAATGCTTTTCAAGTTGATTTGATTTAAATCTTCTTTGGAACCAGAAAGCTAAAAGTTAGTTAAGGAGAGGTGTTGACTGGTATATGGTATACATGGTTCAGAGAGGCTAATCCCAAAGTGGGAAAAGTATTTGTAATAAAACCTAGATTTTTTTGCCATACTCACTGAAATATCCAGGCGATGCAGGCCCCATGGGCCTCTTGCCATTGATTTGTCAAAAAGTGCATATCTGTGGGAGATGTAATTTCATTTTCATGGCAATACAGTAAATGGTTCTGCATACAACAAGATGCTGTATGATAATTAATATTTGTTGGCTATAGTTGAAGTCGGTATGGTTCACAATTTTAAAATCAAGAATTATATGTAATCAAATATGAATTTTATGGTGGTTTATATCTAATCAAATCGCTATTCCTCTGGCATCTGGCGTCCGTCTATCCTTAAACAATTCGTGTTATCTCTTATTTCTGGAGAAGCACTGGATCAATCATCCTTTTAAAATTTCATATGTAGGTCCCAAGTTGTGCATGTTTAATTTTGGGACTGATCATAACTCAAGATGGCCAACAGGTGGTCATTTTGAATTTTGATAGTTGAACTTCGTCATGGATCTTTCTCAAATTTCACCTGTAGATTCCCGTTGGTCCCTAGTTTTAACTTTGCATATCTATGCGAACAGGATGGCCGACAGGCGGTAGCAAATTCTTAAAACAAATTCCCATTTCTTCTGTTGGAATGCCAGGAATCTCTCCAAATTTAGACTGAAGCGTCCTGGGGTGAAGAGGAATCAGTTTTTATCAATGGTAGGTATCCATGTCATTGGACGGGAGGGGCGCGGCCCAATAGGGCAAATAGAGCAAATTCTTTAAAATCCTTCTGTAGGAATAATTTTGTTGGTCCAAAGCGGTGTAAAAAAAGTCTTGAGGGGTGATACATTTTGTTTCAACGGTCGTTCTGCCTTCTTATATATTATTAGTTTAAATAAAATTCTATTATTGATAAGCATTTAAATGTGCCAAACATTGTCAAAACAAATTGCAACGCTTTTCCATTTCTGTAGTATTGGCATAGATAATTTTATGTTGGTGGTGTGTGTTCATAAATCAATATGTAGGATTTTTGCTTTGTTGTCCTCTATTTTTTCGGCACAAAAGCGACCAAAATAAATCTGCTGCGCCCATTGCAATATTTGGGATATTTAACTTTCTTTCTACTATTAACTACCTTTTTTCCTAGCGCCTTGATTGACAACACCTCTCTTTTGGTTTGAATGTTGAGCATTCGCCCAGGTGAGGACGGCAATGGCAGGGACATACGAAAGTACTTAACAAGAGGCCTAGAGGGTCTGTATCGCTCACCTGAATATGTTTACAATAATTGGTATGAAGTAAAGATATATCACTTCATTGTAGGTGCTGTAAGTACATAAGAAATTTCAGAAAGATCCATCCAGTACTTGAGATATAGCGAGAACAAATTTCAAACAGAGCCCCATCCCTATGCCCCTAGGGGGTCATACCCACCGTTTATACTAAATTGGTTACGAGTCCCTTTTGCCGACGGATGTTCCAGACTAAATTAGGATAAAATCCCTTAATTCCTATGGTAGAAGAAGGTTTTTTAACGGTTTTACCTCTATTCCCCTTTCGGCCCCATCCCTCAGGTCCAAGGGGGGCCACTGTTTATACAAAATTGGTTCCCCTTTACCAAAGTATCCACCAACGATTATCACAATTTCCTCCATTTCCTCCATTTTACAGCTCGATTAAAATACATATATATATAAACTAGATTAAAGGGTTCATGAAATTCCTCCAGCATATAATCGCAAATGACACACATGGAAGCACGTCCTTAACTGGCTTATGCTGTTGACAAGATGTTAAACGCTATAAAAACAAATCAAACCATGAAATATCTTCTACATATCCTTTTTAGACTCTTTTACTAACAAGACATTTGACTTTTTAACCTTGACATATGACCACAGAAATTTAATCAGGTGCAGAATTATGTGTTATCCTACTATGATGTAGTAGATATAAACTTAATCTGTTGTGAGGTTCATTAATAACCCTGGAACTACATATCTCAATAAGTAGGGAGTGTAATTCTAGCAACGATTTTAAATGAAATACCAATGCCAGCAGTTACATATATATACATATATACTTAAAGAATAACTAGCACGTGAGATACGTATTGATCATTCTTTGATTATTACACAAATCCTGAACAGAGAAGGACATGCTGTTCGTAGACATCATCAGCTATGATTTCAATAGCCTATCTGAAGTCAGCGCTCTCAACTTTCCTCTGTATCACATTTGAAGTGGTACGACCGGAGAAAAAAACTTGTGATTCTGTTGCCATGGTAACCGGAAAATAAATGCGAGTGATTAAAGACATATTGGTGTACCTAGGCATTAATTTTGTGAGCTAAACTATTTCAATATTGCCCAAATCAATGTATTTTTTTCATGTAATATATAATAATTATTGGATTTTTTGTACATTTTGTAATGACTGAAGGATTTATTTCCACAGTATTGATAACCACAAAGCTAAAAGCATTGTGTTACATGTATTATCATAACCGGAATTGAATCAACTGCACGTATCGTAGGAGGCGGCTAATGTTAGACCTACTGCAGAATTGGGATTTTGCTTTGGTGCACTCGATTTTGGGACACAAAGGCGACCATGATAAATCTGCTGCACCCATTGCAATTTTTGGGATCTTTATTTTATTTTCTAATTGCAGTATTGGGATCTCTGTGCATCTTTCTACTTCTAACTACCTTTTAATTCCTAGCGCCTTGCTTGGCAACGCCTCACTTTTGGCCTTCGTGTTGATTTGTTTGGTTTGGTTTAGTATTGTTAACGTCCTATACACAGCTATGGTCATTTAAGGACGGCCTCCCCTGTGTGTGTTTTGGGAGGTGCGATATGTTCGTGTTTGCCTCCTTGTGATAGTGCGGAACTAATGCCGATTTTATGTGCTATCTCACTGAAACATACTGCCGAAGACACCCAGCAGGACAACTCACCCGGTCACATTATACTCACAACGGACGTGAAGCAGGAGTAGCAATTACCATTTTGACAGACTCTGGTATTTGTCGGCCAGGAAACAGAACCCAAAGCCTTCCTTACAGGGACGAACGCATTGTCGAGGAACACATTAGGAAGAAGAAAGTTGTTTAGAAATAAGAAAAAAGATATTTATTAAAAACTTGATACTATTTGAAAGTGCAAATATAAAGTGTAGTTGAATATCGCTTTATGTTCGTTGCAGGTCCTACTCCTACCGTTGCACATAAATTGTTTTCTTGATAACCAAAAGGCCCATGCTGGTGATATTTGGCTTGGAAAGCGAATTTAATATTTTTTTGTTCTGTCCACTTTGAAGGTTACTGGTTTTGTATTAATACCAGGCGAGAAAATTATCTGAAAGTAGAAGGCCGAGTTTGTGGTTCACAATATATAATTAAACATAACAGTTCTGCGTTATTCAGATGCATCAATCACTTGTTCTGTACCCTAATTTAATGCTTTACCACAATTCTCCTTCTCTTTAGCCAGAAAACATCCTCCTGGATTATCGTGTATCTGCCCTCAGTGCTGTTTTGTACGAGTTGAAGACGTTTCTGATATTTTTTATCCGAAGGGGGACCGCAGACCCAGTATGTAACTGCGCAGAAATACTACAATTAAAGCGTATACATCATTAAGTATAAATATTATAGAAATTGAAACAGACATAGACAAAAATGTTTAAGGACATGAAGCAAAGTATTAGAACAGACCGCAGAGAGGAAATTGTCCTCTCTCGACAGCGTATATGCCATACCTACATCACACATGGTAACATTTAACATAAGAAAGACCAGATGTATTGTCATGCATGTTATCAACCAATTACAGTGAAACACTTTATGATTGAATGTGCTGATTTCAAACAAATACGTGAGAGATTTTATCAATATTGTACCGTTTATGAAAAAATTATTTAATATAGTTTCTGTGCAATTAATATATGTCTATTTACACTCAATTGATCTTAACTATTTTAATTGCTGTCAATTCGTTTGCTGTTGATGTAATTCTCAATTATTTACATATGGTGATCTATCTAGTTTTAGTTGTATGAATGACTGTTTTACAGTGTCGTTTGGCCTTGATGACTTGCATTGTCGAAGAACCGTTTTTGTAACATCATTTGCCCTTTTTAATCTATTCATGTTTGTTGAGTTAACCCTTTAACCCCTGCAGGACGGGTATTAAAATCCGGAACTTTAAGAACAATCTCGTACAAAATATTGCCCTCCGTATTAACAGATTTTTAGTTTTCTGTCAACTGATCTTGGCTTGGGTTGGTAATGAAAAAGTAGATAGAGCAGTTTCTGTGCAATCAATCTATGACTATTAACATTCAACTAATCTCTATTATAAGATATAATATATTTTATAAATAATTCGTTTGCTATTGATGTATTTTTTACATCTTTACACTTTTTAACAATAAATCTGCTGCACCCATTGCAATATTGTGTATCTTAATATGTCTCTTTAGACCTTCTATCAAGGATATTTAGACAAAATTTTGACACAATTCTTTCAGCCGTTCTTAACTAAATAACTGAAAAGTTGATGGCCGGACGGCGGACACCGAACCACGGCAAAAGCCCACTATCCCTTACGGCCAGGTGAGCTAATGAACCCAAAAACCCAACCAGGTAAAACACAGTCGACACCTATAGTAAATCATCGCATTGCGTAGCATTTCGCCGTCCTTAACTTGTTTGTCTCAAGGTTCATCGATAGGGTATAAGAAACGTTAGTATTATTCTTACTTGGAACATAGTGTAGCAGCCGGCCGTCAAGCAAAGGTAATACGACACATCCAGAGAGGATACCTGATACTCTAACCTGATCAGAAAACATGTGCTCAGGTTCATGCATCCTTTTATAAATAAAGTTCAAATAATACATTTTAGTGTCACCAATCTCAAAACATACAGAACATTTTACACAATGCAGTATATTTAAAAAAAGGGGTGGGAGATTTAGGTTAATATAACATTTTTATTTAATTTTGCATACATTTTTTCATGAGTTTCGTGGAAACAGTGTACAATTAACGGGAATGCACGTGAATATAAATATCGCAAACTGTAAGTAATAAGCTGATGTTCATAATGTTTTACCTGTAACTCCGTAAAAAATTATGAAGAACATGTTGCCGTCATTGTAACACTCTTCATGAGTGGAGCCTTCAAACAGTCCACTACTCAGCATGAGAAGACATGAAAAGAACGTCATCAATTCAAATACTAACGACAGTACCTGAAAGCCTAAGGCACCAACACCATCTGCAAGTAATAAAACATGGTCAAATACATGTTCAGACTCTTATTTAGTCTAGAAGAATCTTGTAACAAGAAGTACCAGAGAGATCTTGACGACCACCGTCGTAAGATCTTCATTTGTTCTATGTAACTTTGATCTTTTATTTTGTTGATACATGTAGTCATTACAACAGTAAATGTACCTTATATTAAATTTTGCTTCAAACAGCTTTGTGCTTTGCTTGACATTGTCCTTTAACAGCTAGACTTTCGATGAGCACTTTAACGGCACACTTACATGGAGGCATGTCCTTAAATGACCTTACTCGTTCATTGGACGTTAAACACAAGATGCCCAGAAGGCCTGTATTGCTAAGCTGCATAATAAAGCAACAATGTAAATTATTTTATTACATATAACAACTATTTCTAAATATTGGCTCTGTTTATCAGCAACATCCGTCCCTCATAAGGTCTCTTCTTTCTGTCCCCTCAACTCTTTCCGTATCGTTGTCGTGTACACACGACAACAATATGTCCTCCTGGTCCCCGTTGTCGTGTACAGACGACAAAATAATAGGCCGTCTCATCCCCGTTGTTGTGTACACACGACAACAGACTTTGGTGTAACTTGTCTTATGTTTAGCTGGTAATCGCTCACGACAATCGCGTGATACAATTTTTGTCGATAACATCAGCACCCATCAGTTTGAAAGAAATAGTTTGATAGAGGCAGAGTACACAATTTATATTTTGTGACCTATTGTTTTCGAATCCGCCGCAAGATGTTTGCGTTTGGTGATTCAAATATAAACAATATGGCGGCAACTTAATTCGATTTGAACACTCGTAAATTCATCACCAAATATTTTTTTAGACTTATGGAAGTAAATATTAATATTTTAATATAAGTCCTAATGAAATCTATTTGTAATTAGAAATTTTTGTTAACGACTTCGTATTCGTAAACAATAATCAATCTCTATTAGGATCCTCCACTACAACGCAGTTTTGCAAACAAGGTTTCGTATCGTTTGTTGTCGATTTCTCACGTTATAATGATCTGCCAGTTAGTCATAATGCTGCGAAAATGAAGAGGTGTGTGACTATAAACAACAACTTGAAAAAATAACAATATCTGTTCACGGTTACTAGTATAATTCTTGCAGCAATTATACCTCGTCTAAAAAGAACATGAATTTTCCGCCATTTTGTTATTTGCGCGGGGGCGAGTCTAGTAAGGACATCCGGTACGGAATCCGGACCAGATTTGCGGTACGGAAAGAGTTAAAGAAACCCTCTATTTATACAAAACTGAGTCCCCTTTGCCCAATGAAGCTCTGCACAAAATTTGTTTAAAATCTATCAAATCATACTCAAGGAGAAGGATTTTGATCATATATTACTGTGTTCTCCCTATTGGTCCTCGCCCCTAGGGGGAGGGTGCACATTCCCCGTTTAAATTGTGTCCCTCTTGCCCAACCGTGTTCCAAGCAAGATTTGGAAAAAAATCAACACCCTCCTTTTATACACAATTAGTTCCCCTTTACCAAAGACTGTTCCAGGCCAAATTTGGATAATATACTTCTTAATGTTAAAAGGAAGAAGGATTTTGCAAGATTTACAAGATTAAAACCTCAAATCCCCGTATTGGGCCCCTTCCCACTACACCCAGAGGTTCCACACTTTCCGTTTAATCAAAATTGAGTCCCCTTTGCACAAGGATTTTCCAGGACAAATTTGGATAAAATAACTCCAAAAGTACAGAAGGAGAAGGATTTTGAAGATTTAAACGTCAAGTTTCCCTATTGGGCCCCGCCACTCAAACATACCCCGACTCCTGCATACACACACGCATACACTAAACACATGGAGGCACGTCCTTAAATGACCTAAGCTGTGAACAGGACATTAAACAAAATTAAATCAAACCAAACCATTCACCAAGAGGGGTCACACCCGCCATTTATACAAGATTTGGTCCTTATGGCCCAATAATATTCCAGGTCAAATTTAGTCAAAATCGATAACTGCCGTTCAGGATTAGTAGCGTACCAAAGGATAAGTTGACGAACGGACGGACCAAACCAAACTTGGAAAAAAAAACTTTTCATGTTTTTGTTTTAAAGTTTGTTTGTTTTGTTTGTTTGATTTTGTTTAACGTCCTATTAACAGCTAAGGTCATTTAAGGACGGCCTCCCCTGTGTGCAAGATGCATGCGTGTAGTGTATGTGTGTGTATTTTGGGAGGCTGCGATATGTTCGTGTTTGTCTTCTTGTAATAGCGCGGAACTGATGCCGACTTTATAGTGCTACCTCACTGAAACATACTGCCGAAGACACCCAGCAGGACGCCCCACCCGGTCACATTATACTGACAACGGGCGAACCAGTCGTCCCACTCCTAATTTGCTGAGCGTTAAGCAGGAGTAGAAACTACCATTTTTAAAGACTTTGGTATGTCTCGGCCAGGGGACAGAACCCAAAGCCTTCCTCACAGGGGCGAACGCTCAACAAATGGCCAAAAGTGAGGCATTGTCAAGGGAGACATTAGGAAGAAGAAAGTTATTTAGAAAGGAGAGAAGAGATAAGGTCCCAAATTTAGTCGCCTCTTACGATCATGCAATTGGGGGCAGCAGGTACAATTCTTACGCCCTACCTGCAGGGTCCTTGTTTTAAAGGGCATGATTGAAACACTGTAATTTTGTTTGGTTTGGCTTTACTTTGTGTCGTAGTGTCACATTTAATGTGTGGTACTAGTTACATGGAGTGTCTTTGTTTACAATGTATTGTGCGGGGTTTCCCCGGTGTCTATGTATAACCTGTAAAATGTGACGTAATTGTGTTTACCTGTATGGTACCCGTTTGTCCAGTTTGACCAGGGTGGGTCGATGGGCGTGTCGGTGAGTGAAATTAATGCGCGAATGTGTAGAGTGTCGTATAAAAGGAGTTACTTTAGCGGTGGGCGTTGCATTCTAGCCAGAGCGTTTGACACTATCACCTTCGGGGATCAGCGCTACTTGACATGACGGGCCAATATTTCCTGCTGCGTGGCAACATGACGGTATCAGGTAAATAATACTTGTAACAGTAGTTGTTCTTACAATTTAATATTTTATCGTTCGAAACGCGTCGAATTCATTATTATAAAGAATAACTAATGGTATCTTGTATGAATTGGTCTATTTGTAATGTTGGCAAATTGTATTTGAAGGGGTTCCGTTGTGTTTCTGAATCCTGAACTATATCTGTACAGTATACGTCGGCCCGGGGAAATGAATAAATAAATGTATACAGAGAAATGGAGTTTGTCAACTGTTTTTCCTACGAGAAATGGCGACCAGGACGACACCTGGGAACCAAATTTGGAAAATGAAAACGACGTCACCATCACAGTTATAAAGGAACCCCGAGCGGACCCAGCGAACAACTGCTACACAGCCAGCTATGACCTGAAATGTGCAGTTATTTATGAGGGAATGGAGGGAATGGTATGTTAGGCCAACTACACTTATCTCACCACCGCGGGAAGTCGTCTGTTAATGTGAGATAAGATTTATTTAATACCGGTGTGAAGCGATGGTATCACACCAAAATGCGACGACCCCAGTTACAGTGAGTGCGCCAAGAAATATAGAGGAAGTGTCGACATGACCAAGAACAACAACAACCGCGGAGCTCAAAACGCGCCCGGATGAATCAAACGCGAGAGTGACTAGGACGATGGAACTTGAAGTGAACAGTTGTGTGGGACGATTTTGAAAGCAATGACACTTTAAATTCACGGTTTTCATTGGTAAATTGGTTGAAATATTTGCATTTCATTCAGAATTTGATTAATATTGTATAGCCTATTCTGTGTTGAAATCTGTGTGAATGTAGCAAGCACGAGGTTCTGAGATTGAAAGTTTATGTTTATATGTGTTTAATCCTATATGTTGTGTATTTACATGTTATTCGTTTTATGTTTCTACATTAGTTATGATGTCTATATATTAGCATTTAAAGGGAGAGTTACATAAAATCCTCTGATAGTGTTTGTAATTTTCACAATTTTCTAGTGAATCACCGACACCAGTAACCAGTAACTGATACCAGTTAATAGTAACCAGTAACTGCAAGATTTCTTCACACATTTTTAGGGGCAGATATGTATTACAGTATATAGGTAGACCAGAGCCGTATCCAGTCTCTGAGTATCAGAGTAGTTTTCAAGATGGCTACAGGAGGCACCGCCCCGGGAGATACTAAGGTTACATGAGGTGAAGCTCAGGTAAGAGATATAGAGGCTGTTAAGAAAATATTGGACAGTGAAGATTATAAAGTGTTGACAAAAGAGGAATATGAACAACTCCTGATGCTAAAGGTAGGGAAAAGTGCCACAAGCACTCCAAAGCCTAAAATAGGGGGTAGAGGTAGGGCCCAGTTGGGTGGAGTTAGTCAAATCGAGGACCTACCGTCTCCAGGGAATCTCATAGTTAAACGTTCAGACTCCACGGATGGGGAATTTACGTTTATGTCCAATGCTAGTGGAACCGCATTGGAACCCAAGGGAATTTACCCCGTCCGCCCAAAATATCGCCTTTCAGTGGAGATGACCAAAAAGGTGATGTCGGGTTTAATGTATGGAAATTTGAGGTAAGGTGTATCCTGAGGGATGAGCATTATTCCTTTGCCACAATAAGACAGACGGTACGGCAATCCTTACGAGGGACCGCAACACAGATGCTGATACCATTAGGAGAGAAGGCGGGGTGCGAAACCATCATTGGTTTGTTTGGGAATGTAGCCACACATGAGGCTACATAACAGAAATTCTACTCCGAGATGCATCAAGACGGTGAGACAGTAGTGTCTTTTGCTTGTCGTCTGGAATCGCTACTTCAATCCGCCATTGATAATGGCCATATAGAAGATTCAGCAATAGAGAGCATGCTTAGGTCGGAATTTTGGACTTGGTAGTGAGAGGCTAAAAAACCAGACCAGACACAGGTATGACGCAAAACTTGGAACATTTGATGCTTT